AAAAGAAAGAACTCTTGGATTATATTGGCCCACCTTGGTAAACTACCATAATGTCACAATCACATGGTCCTTAACTTAATCTGCTAGTCCCTTTATCATTGAAATAATCACAGATTCTTGACACGAGGGATGTGGGAGTCTCTGAGAGGCCTCTGTTCTGTCTACTGCACCCCCAAGGCCATATTCACCACAATCGTTCATGACAAACTGCTGGTGGGCAGCCTGGACTTGGTCATCTGACCACGGAGTCACTGCCTGCAGGGATGTCCACAACACCATCACTGCCCTGAGCCAGTGATGAGGCCAGTCCACACTCCCTGCAGCCTTCTCCACCTCTTCCTTGTTAGTAATGCTCCTTGTTAAGAATGCAAAGAGAGTGGACACAACTGGAAGATCACAGCTCCCAAGCCTTGGGAATAGTTCGGTGAGCATCAGCACCTTGGACAGGTGCCCCAGCCACCCTCCTCCCAGGGGTTGAGCAGGGAGGAGGCAAGAAAAAGAGACTCTGGAGAAGCTGCCTGTTGCTTTTCTACATAAGAAAGATGTAATGAGGCAGGATGCTATCACGGGGATGAGCTGCTTCTGCTCTAATTTATCAGTCATAAGCGCTTTGCACATGTCTGGATGTTACTGTTGGCACGTTCATTACAATTCCTTGCGTGGCTGTTAGCTGCATCCAGAGGGTGGCCTTGGGGAGTCTGGGAGGCTGCTCCAGCCTCTTGGGGAACCTCCTGCCCCCCGAGAGTCAGGCCACTGTCTTGCATACAATAAGGAAGGAATGGGGGCTCCTGGCTGGCTCAGTCAGTACAGAATGAGACCCTTGACCTCAGAGTCGTGAATTGGAGCATTGGGGGTAGAGTTTCCTCAGTAAAAGAAAAAAATGGAAAATAAAAGGAAGGAATGTTTCATGATTAGCTTCTGACCCTTAGTGCCTGACCTTGGAAACACACTCATCACCCGGCCTGGAGCACCCCCTAAGCACAGCATCCTGTTTCCAAGCCCCAGCTGAACCCCACAGGCAGCAGGGCTGAGCAGAGCCCCTGGGCTCTTCTCCAGCTCCTCCTTGCTGAGCCCTGTGCGTGGTGTCGGAGTCCTATGCCATCTGCCTGCCCTTCCCAGCAGAGCAAACATTTCACCCAGGGGACAAGGGGGGACCTGAAGATCTCCCAGGGGAGAATCCAACATCTGAGGGTTTCTGCATCTGCCTGTGACCCCTCAGGGGAAGAGATAAGACAAGGGCGCTCACAGTCACCCCCATCTTCCCTTTTCCCCATCCACATCCCACCTGCAGAACCAACTCTGATGCTACAGACCCAGTCTTGCCCTTCCATGGGCTCGGGTGCATTCTGTCCACTCACAGTGTCCAATATAAGGTCAGCTGGGTGCTCTGTCTCTATTATTTCTTTCTTTCTGCTTTTAGCTGGGTTCATTTTGCTCTTATTTTTCTGGTTCTTCTAGTAGGAACTTACATTATTGATTTGAGATATATCCTTTCTTGTAATGGAAGCATTTTGTGCTAGAAACTCCCCTCTCAGTGTCGCATAAGCTGCATCCCATAGATACCCTCAGATACCTTTTCAGTCCGCACGCTTCCCTTCCACTTCTGGTACCCAGTGGCACCGAGGTTCCATCCTTTTTTTACGGAACATAAGCAGAGGAGGGTTTTTTTTAGTATATTTAATTTAATTCTGTGTGTTTAAATGTTTTTTTTTTTTATTTTGAGAGAGAGAGAGAAAGAGAGAGGCCATGGGTAGGGGAGAGAGAGAGAGAGAGAGAGAGAGAGAGAGAACCCCAAGCAGGCTCCGCACTCAGCACAGAGCCTGCCTTGGGACTCAGTCCCACGACCCTGGGATCATGACCTGCCTCAGATCAAGAGTCAGATGCTCAACCGACCAAGCCACTCAGGCATCCCAATTCTGTGTGTTTTTAAAATTTCCTTTGAAATTTGCTTTTTGACCAATAAATTATTTACAAATATGTAGCTTACTTTCCAAATCTTTTAGGGATTTTTTTCAGTTGTCTATTATTAATTTCTAGATTCATTACCATTTTCCGAGAACATACTCCGATTTCAGTATTTTACATTTATTTATTTTTGAGAGACAGAGAAAGAGCATGTGCAAGGGAGTGGCAGAGAGGGAGAGGGAGACGCAGAATCCTTAGCAGGCTCCAGGCTCTGAGCTGTTCGCACAGAGCCCGATGAGGGGTTTGAACCCACGAAGCGTGAGATCGTGGCCTGAGACGAAGTCAGACGCCAAACCGACTGAGCCACCCAGGCACCCCAGATTTCAGTATTTTAAATTTGGTGCGGGGCGCCTGGGTGGCTCAGTCGGGAGAACATGTGACTTGATCTCAGGGTCGTGAGTTCAAGCCCCACGTTGGGCTTCCTGCCGTCATGCAGAGCCTGCTTTGGATCCTCTGTCACCCTGTCTCTCTGCCTCTCTCTCTCTTTCTCCCTCTCCCTCTCTTCCTCCCTCTCTCAAAAATGAATAAATATTAAAAAAAAAAACAAAGTAAATTTGGTTAGATTTTCGATATGATACCAAACATGAGCTACAGAGAATGATGAATTATACATCTCCTTTGGCCATTCTTTAATAGTAGGTCAGCTGGCAATAAATTTTCATACTCTCCCTTCATCAGGGAATTTCCTTCTTTCCCCATTCACTCCTGAGGCTAATTTTAGCAGGCGCACAATTTGAAACATGTGCCACTTCCTTCTGGCCTCCATGCTTTCAGATACAAAACCTACTGTCACTTAAATTAGTGTTCCTTAGTGCGCAAGGGGGGTTTCTCTGGGTGTCTTTAGGATTTTTGTTCTCTTGTCTTTTATTTTCAGAAGTTTGTTACGTGCCTTAGTGTGACCGCTCACCGTGTGTGGGGTTCTGACTCAGCCTCTTGGGTTGTCATTTCCTCAGATACCTTTTCAGTCCGCACGCTTCCCTTCCACTTCTGGTACCCAGTGGCACCGAGGTTCCATCTTTTTTTTACGGAACAGATCTCGGGACTCTGCTCATTTTTCTCTCTTTCCTCTCTCTTTTTCAGGAGGAATAAATTCTATGGATTTGTCCTCCAGTTCATTGATTCTACCTTGTACATCGTCATGTTACTATGAAGTTCACCAGTGAGGATTTGGTTTTTTTTTTTTTTTTTAATTTTTTTTTGGTTTTGTTTTTTTAAATATTGGTTACTGTAGTTTTCAGTTTCATCATTTCTATGTTTCTTTTCTATTTTTCTTTTTTT